TTACAGAAGCTACAATTCAAGATGAGATTTGGGTGAGAACACAGCCAAACATATCACCCTGTAAAAAAGAGAAAAGAAAAGAAAAGAAGAAGAAGGAAAGAAGGGAAGGGAAGGGAAAAAGGGAAAAAGGGAAAAAGGGGAAAAGGGAAAAAGGCAAAAAGGGAAAAAGGGGAAAAGAAGAAAAGGGGAAAAAGGGAGGAAAGGAAGAAAGAAAAAGAAGAAAAAAGAAAAAGAAAGAGAGAGAGAGAGAAGGAAGGAAGGATGGAAGGAAGGAAGGAAGGAAGGAAGAAAGGAAGGAAGGAAGGAGAGAAAGAATTCAGCCTGCAGGTCCCGGCAAGCAGACAGCCTCGTTTTTGCCTCTCAGTAAGGGTCCTCTGACATGCAGACTTCATCTTTTTCTCCATGTTCCTACTATACAAAGAGTGGTCATACATTGTCCAAACTGAACCTTTTTGAGAGATAAAAGCAAGACGCTGAACATGTGAAGGAAAAATGGGCAGACCATATGCAAAAATAGAACTCTGACACAATCTGCAGCAATCAGACCAGAAAACCAATCTTATCATCTGTAAGTCAGACATGTAGGAAGTCAGACCACTATCACTGGCAAACAATCCAGGAACCCAGCAACAACCCCTGTAACAAATGGCACCAGACTGCAAGAACTTTATTAATAAATGATAGCTTTTCTAAGTTTTGTACCTGGTCTTAACGTAGGAACAAAGAGAAAACCAGCTATGCATCGCTCTGCTAGTTCTAGTTAGCCTACCTATAGCTTCCCTATGCCAACAGTCTTCAGTTAGGGCATACTTGAAGCCTTCCCCCTTTCCCCACTCTACAGTTTTCCCACCCTCTGCCTGTCTTTGAGGCTCTGCCAAAACGCAGGTGATGGTGGCTGACTCCCTTGTTATAGCAAACTCTGAACAGAGTCTTCTCCTCTTCTCATGTATTTGGTCTTCATGTATTTCCACAAAGGGATACTGGTAATAATTATGCTGAACCAACAGGCAAAAATCAGGACTGTCCTGAGCAAATCTAGACATAATCACACTAGTTATAAAGCACAATTAGACAAGAAGCTGTTAGCTAATGAAATACTATACAAGGCTTAGGAGAGTCAAAGTATAAAAGACAAAAGATAAGGCCGGGCGTGGTGGCTCACGCCTGTAATTCAAGCACTTTGGAGGCCAAGGTGGGCGGGAGTTCAAGATCAGCCTGAGGTTGGGAGTTCAAGATCAGCCTGACCAACATAGTGAAACCCTGTCTTAAAAAA